CCACACTACATGGACTCAAATGCTGGGGTCTGCTGTCTGCCTCTGAGCAAGTTACACAGCCCCTCTGTCTCGGTCACCTCACCTGTAAGATGGAGTGGTTAATGTCACCTACCTCATTGGGTTGTTATAAGGATTAAAGGAAATAATACAGGTATGTACTTTCCTGACACAGTGTCTAACAAATACTAAACCCTGAATAAAATCTAGCTGTAGACATCATACCATATTTGAAGTGTAGGGTAGGATGACATATCCTCTACCCCTGGGTCCTTCTGGCCAGACTATGAACTAAATTGACGTGAGACAGAATAACAGGAGAAAAGCAAAGACAGCTTTATAGCAAGTATACATGGGAGACACTCAGGAAAACCGAGCAACTCGCCAAGATGGTGGAGAATCTCATCTTAAATGCCATCCTCAGCTAAAGACAAAAGGGGGTGTTAGGGGTGGTGGTTTGTGGCTTCAAAGGGGAGGAAGGCAACTTACATGGAAATGGAAAATCAAATGTTTGGTAAATAGAACTTGGATAAGAGTAGGCTTAGCAAGGATCCTCCCAGTCTTCCGGAACCCAGAGTTATCTATGGTGATGGCCTGTCCTAGGGACAGGCCTTTATTTTAAATTTCCTTTAGGCAGTTACGGGGGAGGTCAAAGTTTCTTTCAGAACCTTTTGTTCTTAAAAATAACCAAGACAAGGCAAAGAGACACATTTCGAGATGACCAATTCTGATCCCCCAGAGAAGGAAGCCTGCCTGTTTGGGTCTCACATAGATAACTAACAGACTATAGCTCATCTGCTGCCAATTGTTGTGCCTGGAAAGTGTTAACTGGTCTCTTTTTAAGGACTAGAGTTAAAAGCTAAATGTTGAGAGAAAGATAGGGTGTATCAAGGAAGATAGCATTTGTTACCAACAATTTTATAGCTAATATGGCTGAGCCCTGAGCATGTGTGTATTTCTGAGGGAATACACGGATTAGATTAGATCTGACCACTGATGTTAAACACACATACACACACCCCAAATACGTAGGTTGGCCAAAACCCATGTACACATAATTTGCATTCCTAAACACCATGGAACAAAACCGCTACACTGAAATTGACATTCCATATATTCTTTGCTGTTAACCAGAAGCGAAAATATTTTCCCACATAATTGGAACTGCAAAATGTGAGGTATTTGAAAACCATTTTGAACCCAAACCGTTAAAACCAAGCTTTTTAATTTTCAGATGAGGGAGCCTAGCATCACAGGTGTCACACGGGGCCAGAACACAGGTCCCCTAACTCTCCGTCCAATATTCCCCCAGCTCAGAGTTCAGTGATGACTTTCTCAGTTGTGTTTATTATTAGTTTAGGGGTTATATTGACATGGCTGCTTATAAGGAAAAATATGTGTTGAGCATAAGCTTTGTGCCCAACCCTTGGCTAGACACCATGGGGAAATGCATAGTGTTCCTACGTGGGAAGTTTAATAAAGAGAGCTGGAGGTTGTTTCGCAAAAGATGACTGAGTAAAAAGTAATGTGTGATATTTTCACTTTCAAGTACAATGTTGTGCTTAAAAATGAAGGGTCTTAATTCAAGCTGGCAGGGTTCCAATAGGGGTTTTACTAACTCCCAGCTATAAAACTTTGGTCAAGTTATTTTAACTCCCTAAGCGCCAATTTTCTCATCTTGTAAAACAAGGTTTGTGGACCTTGAGGGCATTATGCTAAGTGAAATAAGTCAGACAGAGAAAGACAAATACCATATGATTGCAGTTATATGTGGTATCTAAAAAAAAAAAAGGCAAAAAACCCGAGCTCATACATACAGAGAACAGACTGGTAGATGCCAGAGGGGAGGTGGAGTGGGGGTGGGTGAAACAGGTGAAGGAGTCAAAAGGTACAAACTTCCAGTTATAAGATAAACAAGTCCTGGGGATGTAATGTACAGTATGGTGACTATAATTAATAACACTGTATTGCAGATCTGAAAGTTGCTAAGAGAATAGGTCTTAAAAGTTCTCATCACAGAAAAAACTTTGTAAGTATGTGTGGTATGGATGTTAACTAGACTTGCTGTGACCATTTCACAATACATGCAAATATCGAATCATTATGTTGTACACTTGAAACTAACATAATGTTATATGTCAATCATATCTCAATGAGAAAAAAACACAGTTTGTGCTTTCCTCAAAGAGTTGTTGTGAGGACAAAATGACATAAAGTAAGCAAAGTGCTGCGGGCCCCACGCAGTATAGGGTAAGTGGTCATAACTGTGAAATCATCGCCACTATTATCACTCAAAATGTTAGTAAAGTTCACCAATCCTTCTTAAAATGGAAAGAACTCCAGAGACCCTTTCTTCTTGGCTACCAGTTCAAGATCGCAAATGAATTCCTTAGTTTGTCTCTATTTTGTTCATAAATTTAGGCAAAAATATCTCACGAGTTATTGTAAGATTCAAACAGGGTGAGTGATGCAGAGCGCCTGGTGGAGGGGCTGGAATTTGATGAAACAGCCCCATCTCTTGCCTTTCTCCGTCACAGAGAACAGGTTATAGATATTGCTGTGAATAGGCAAATCCAGGAATATTTTCCCCAAATAAAGTGCTTAAAACAAATGCCTGCCACTTCCAGGCACGGTGGAAATGACAGAAAGTCAAAGGGACAAATTATAGTGACTGCTGACAAGCGGATGTTGGAGAGGAAGGGAGAGAAGATTTAAAGAGGCCTCTGGTTCTCGTCCTTGAACCAGACAAAAAGAACTGGTCACGGAAAAGTGGAGCTTGCTAGAATGGTTACTTGGCTGCTGAAGAGGGCGAAGAATTCAGTTTAGATAAAAAGTTAAAGTGAAAAATTAAGAGATGGCTATGAAATATGGTATCTTGTTATTCTGTGAGCATGTCCGATAAAGCTGCCAGCTAAGACGCTAAACAGACCCCAAATTCTGTAAGGATTAACAAAGACAGATCAGAAATGCTCCCTAAAGCTGCAAAGGCAGCAGCAAAAATTTAATATTATGAATTACGTATGCATTTTGAAGGGCAGATACATGAAAGGACGAAGCATGGAGGGCCAAAAAGGGACAAAAGGACCCAGAAGGAGGCAGCAAATTCACCTTCTTCATAATTTGGCCAAGAGCTTTCCACAGGACTTCACTGTTACTGTGGCTGAGCCCTGGTGCAAAATGTAAAACCAATGCCATTAATGGGATTTCCTCACTGTAGGAATGTTGGAAAAGCCATAGTCATGGATTGAATTGTGTCCCCCTAAAATTCCTAACCCCGGCTCCCCAGAATGTGCCCTTATTTGGAAACTGGGTTGTTGAGGATGTAGTTAGTTACTGGAGTCCTTATAAAAAGAGAGAATTTGGACACAGACATGCTCACATAGAGAAGGCCGTGTGAAGATGAAGGCAGTGCTCAGGGCGGTGCCTCTACAAACCAAGAAAGGTCGGATTACCAGCAAACCCCCAGAAGCTGGGGGAGAGGCCGGGAGCAGAGTCTCCCCCACAGCCTCAGAAGGAACCGACCCTGCTGACTTGACCCCTTGGGCTCAGAATTCCAGCCTCCAGGATTGTGAGACAATAATTTCTGTTGTTTATGCCACCCAATTTTTGGTACTTCATCATGGCAGCCTTAGCAAACTAATACAGATTTAGCTTTATCTGCCAACATCCCAGGGCTGACCGGCACTGCTACTGGCTACAGAGGACTTTGTATCTTTTCTTAAAAAGAATGAATTCTTTATGGAACCAGAGTAATTCAAAGAGTGTTTAAGAACAGATATTTTTTGGGTTTAAGAAAGGCCTAATAAAGCTGGTAAGCAAGTGATGCACAAGGAATTGCCTACATCTGGGGAGCACGGGTTCAAAGAACAGGAGAAATGCAAAGATAGGCTGATAATTCCACATGACTAAAACATGGCACCAGCTTGTTATATATTACAATAAAAATTAATCCATGGAATTAATTTTGCAGAGTATACATTTAGGGAAGAGGATTGACTGTTTTGTTCTATCCTAGGGCCCAAATATTCTGTAATTGATAGAATATCAGAACAGTAAATGACTTTAGATAGCACCTCACCTTATAGGCAGGAAAGTGAGAGCAAGAAGGAGTAAGCGGCCTGTGGAGTCACGAAGCTGGCCCAGGCCCGAGGCCTTTTGTCACAGAGACTGAGAAGAGGTTAAGTCCTTGGACTGAGTCATAATATCTGTCTCCAGATGTTGCTTGGTGTAAAAAGCTTGCTTACTCCAATCATGGTCCCTAAAGTTAACCATGCAGAATGCTTATGAAACTAGCCGTTTCCACAGCAACTTTGATCTGGCCTCATAAGCCACTAAATCATCATGTCTCCAGAATCCCACTAGTTTGTGCCATTCTTTTTGGTTCCTGACTGCCTATGGTAATGCTGAACTTGCAAAAGAGAGCTTCTAGAGCTGTTGAAAAAAGACTTGCAGACACGGCATTTGGGAAAGAACAAAATCTGGGAAGCTGTCTCATTATTAATCATATTCGCACCCTTTCTTATCATCACTTGAAGATTAAGAACTATGGAGTGGAGCTGGGTATTCATCCAAAACACATGAAATCAATAATTCAAAAAGATCTATGCACTCCTGTGTTCATTGTAGCATTATTCACAATAGCTAAGATGTGGAAGCAACCCAAGTACCCATCAATGGAGGAACGGGTAAAGAAGCTGTGATATATATATGCGATGGAATACTACTCAGTCATAAAAAAAGACAAAATCGAGCCATTTGCGACAACGTGGATGGTCCTTGAGGGTGTGATGCTAAGCAAGATAAGCCAGACAGAGAAAGACAAATACTGTGTGATTTCACTCATGTGTCGAAGATAAACAAATAACTGAGAACAGATTGATGGTTAACAGAGGGGAAGGGCTGGGGGGAGGCAAAAGGGGCACAAACGTACAGTGATAGATAAAAACTAGACTACTGGTGGTGAACACGATGCAGTCTATACGGAAACTGAAATATGATGGTGTACACCTGAAATTTATGCAGTGTTATCAGCCAACATGACCTCAATAAAATAATTTTAAAAAAAGAGACCAGTGGCGTGGTCTACATACTAGAGAGAGTGAAACCCCCTCGATTTGCAAATAAGGAGAAGGAGACCCAGAGTGACTGCGCGTTGCCCATGGTCCCGCCATGAGTTTGCAGAAGAACTGGGCTAGACCAAGTGTTCCTGATTCCTGGTTCAGCTCTCCTTATGTAACACTGCACTGCCATCCCGGGGAAGACTCTATTTTATATATACTTTTGTTCGATGTGAAGTGAAGTCAGCATCCCTGCCAGGCTACTGATCGATTTAGAAATGGACTGCTCTGCCATGTGAAATATAGATGATAAACAATGCACGGTCATTCTACCAGCTTGGCTGACCCCGAACCCTGTATGCATGTCATTATCACAGCCTCAGCTCACAGAGGAAATGGATTCTCCTCCAATCACTTCCATTCAAGGATATTATTTTTCCGTACAAAAGCTTAGACGTACCAATGGGTACCATGAACATATACAAATGAATATAGTAGATAAACCTGTGCCAACACACATCTGGCCTTGCTCTAGGATCTGTGTGTTTTCAAAGTACTCTAAAAGTGAAGTAATTCTTTTGGGACTAGCCAGAGCATATTTTTAAACCCTCTGTGCCAAGATCTCTGCAATTCAGCTACTAACTGACAATGGCTGGCTGGCAGTCCTGACTTCATTCAATCCAAGTGTGCAGGGGCCCACTCTCAGTGCAATGGCGGGCTCAACCTTGACCACGGCACAGAGCTAGCAAGAACCCCGCTGTGCTGAATAGGCCACACTCCTCTCGGTGTGGAGTGGAGCAAGCAAGCCAACAGCCAGAATCCACTGAACTCTCAGACTGCTCCTAATTTATTTTTCTGATGACTCTGGTCTCAATTACTCAATGCGTAGACCATAAACTTTGAGTTATAAGGAGCATTCCTAGAGTTTTATTAACCCCCTTTATTCTAACTGCTCTTCTGTCACAAGTCTGCTTTTCAGTTAGGTTGTAAGGGGTTAAAGAATAGCCTCACAAAGTGCAGAAATAAGGAAAAACGGAAATTGACCCCTCCATGGCTGTAGAGGCTAGAACACGATCATGTTGGCGATACTGTCATTTGTAGAATCGAATCCTGGTCTAAATGAAACAGACAAATTTTCAGTAGTAAGAAACTCCTTTGTTAGCATCTTCTTTTCTCCCATTTGCCAATCAAGTAAAACATTCATTTTTGGTTGGGACATTGGAGTTACTGCTCTGCAAGACCAGGCCTATTTCAGTTTCTTCATTTTTAGATTTCTCTCTCTATTTTCACATACTTGAAAATTCTTAGAGAAATAAAACTTTTCACTCCATAGGTAGAGACTAAAGACTTAAAATACATATAAACATAGGAGGCTACTCAATAAACGTCAAATGAATGCATGATGCTTCTAACGGAAATACTTTCTACATAAATGGCTTTTACAACTTAACTCATTTGCTAAAACTATTTGATTTTACTGAATTTGAACTCAAAAGTAACATTTTGAATATTTCTTGCTAAAAATCTGGAGACGTATATTGTCACAATTTTTTCAAGGCTGGTGAGTGGACCCTTACATGTGTTGGAACAGCAGACAGCAGTGTGGAGTCCTGCCTTCGTTCAGGGAGGCATCCAGCTACAGAGGAAACAGAATATGTGGAAATACTGTTCTAAAGTCCACCTGACAACCAGCAGAGGAGCGATAGAGCCATGGCGTCCAGAAAGAATAATTTCCATTTCCAATATTAACGATTTTGAGCTGAATTCCCCTCTATCACATTTAAGTAAGACAATTCTTCATTTAATGAGTTTGAATAGAGGAGCACAGCAAACCTAGAAGAAAGAAATGTTTGAAAAATATTCTGGCCTCTAAATACTTCCTATAAAAACATAATCCCTTCCCTTTAAATCACCTTATGTAACAACACTCAAAAACATTCATAGCATTTCTCTGTGTGTTTGATTTTGCTACACATGATATCTTTTAACTGACTCAGTCTTGCCTAAAATTCTAGAAGCCAGACGCTGTCTAGAATGAAGAGTTTGAATCTCAGCCGGATTCTCTTTCCTGAGGGAGAAAATATTCCTCGTCATTCTTGTCTCAGGTTGGGGGAAGTGGCCAGGAATTTTCCTAGGTAGACTCCTTCGGTCAGCTTCCTAAATTTCTGGAATCAAAATATGCCATCACTGGACTGGGTTGTGAAAGCGGTATTTGTTCAGTTCTCACATTTGGGGGTAAGTGGGTGCCCCCACATAGGAAACATGAATGTCTGTCCAAGATGGGTGGAAGCGTCTGCCATGATTTCCTTTCCAGAGCGTTTCTCTCACTGGGGTGGGACATCTGGAATTCCTCAGCTTCCTTAGGAAAACGTTGATGTTTATTCAGACGTTCTGACTCTTGACAATGGTGGTCATATGCCTGGGCCACCTGCGTCCCTGGATGAGAGGCTGGCAGCCCTCAGGACCGCTCATCCTGCCGTCTGCCACACATCACCGGAGATTTAGACACAGGCTGGTCCAAGTCAAGTCCAGATAGACAGTGTGTAAATGTTTAGTCTGAGGTACTTTTTATCTATGTCTCTTCCCTTTGACAACTTAAACTTGCCTTCCTAGGTTCCTTGGTCCAGTTTGGTCCTGACAAAATGAAGTATAGACTATTTTTCTTTCTTGGCCCTACAAAAACTAAGACTCCTTTCTGATATGAATACAAAGGGAAGCTGTGAGAACCTAGGACAGCTGAAATTGGCAGAAAGATTGTACCTTTTAGAAAGGCAAGGAATTCATTAAAAACACACCACATGAGACATGACTATGATTAAATATGCATCGTATTTACACATTTTCTTCGAATATCCCAGTGCACCCAAAGCCCGGGCTTCTCACGTGACCCCTGAACAGGGAACATCTGTAGAGGAAAGGATAAGTGCAGGAAGGGAAGAAATGTCTGCAATTGTTCTAAGGGTTTCCATGGCTCATCTCACTGACCCTGGATGAGTTTCTTCTTAAGCTGTACTTTATTTATTCCATAATTAGACAAGATTAAAGTCTAAAATCAAGCCACTATTTATTTTTCTATCTGTGCTTGTACAACTGCAGCAGAATTGAAAAATATAAAGATGTAGGTATTTCAATATAGCGGTTCAATATGACCCTCTGGGAGCATCAGGCCTTCCGGACAGACCAGTTCAGCTTTCCAAGGAAAGGATAAAGGACAGTCCCCAACAGGGGAAATCTACCATGAAGTTGATTTTGTAACTCAGGGAACATCTGTGGAGCCAAAGATTTAAATGAAGCACTTGAACTTACCCAACATTTTGGAATTCCATAATTCCAGTCCAATGGGACAGATACCTTAGAGTTAAGAGATGAGTCATAAAATCTGTTTGCTGAAATACAGACATTTCTAACTTATTAAATATCAGAACATCAGGGAAGAAGATGACTGGAACCTCTTAGAGTTGCTTACATTGGGCAGCAGACAAAGCCAAACATTCATTATTACTGGGTAGACCTTTGTGTACCTAAGCGGGCTGTTTTCAGATAGAATGCCTGTATAGACTCAGCATCTGGAAAACTTCTAGTTATCTTCAAAATCTTGGTTCAGTTTTTAACAGTGGACTAACCACAGCACTGAGATGCTTGGACTGCACTTCCACAAAGGATGTTTTGGGTGAAGTAGGGCTGGCATCATCTAGACTTCGCTTCAGAGCTGGCGGTGCTTTTCCCAACTAGCAGGTGTTGGAAGTAACAACAGAATCGAGGGGGTAACAATCAACAGGACATTTAAAAATGAAGTCAGCGTAGCTCCAGGGCTCTCACTGGTGCACTTGGTGAAACGCACAGTCTCTGGACACGTATGTTCCTACCCATGGCTCATTTCCCACCATTTACTTGGTAAAAGAATTTGATATGTGAATGCAGTAGTCCCTCTTGTCTGCCAGGGATACCTTCCAAGACCCCCAGGGGATGCCTGAAACCTCAAATAGTACCGAATCCTATATATACTATGTTTTTTCCTATACATACAGACTGGTGACAAAGTTCATAAATTAGGCACAGAAAGAGATTAATAACAATAACTAATAAAATAGAATGATTTTAACAATATACTATAATAAAATTTACCACAGACCTTGGCAACCTGAGCACATGATGTTTTCTCTTTCCTTATTAAGTTGAGGACTTTCACCTTTTCACTTAAAGCAAGCACTTTATGGCTTCTCTTTGGGGTACCCCAATTGCCAGCATCACTACGCTTTGGGGCCATTATGAAGTACAATAAGGGTGACTTGAAAGCAAGCACTGAGATACTGCAACTGCCGATCTGATAACTGAGAGGCTGCTAAATGACTACCGGGCAGGTGGCGTCTACAGCGTGGATCCTCAGGACAAAGAGACGAGTCGAATCCTGGGAGGGACAGAGCGGGATGGCACAAGACTTCATCATGCTACTCAGTCCTGCTTGCAATTTAAAACTGATGAATTGTTTATTTCTGGAATTTTCCATTTAGTATTTTCTGACCACAGTTGACTGTGGGTAACTGAAACCACAGAAAGTGAAAGCATGGATAAAGGGGACTGGTGTCCATATGTTTACAGGTGTCATTTATTCTCAAAATAATGCCAATTTATTCAATTACTTTGAGAAGGAAAACATCTATAAAGAGTTGGGATTTTTTTTCTTTCGACTTGGGGGCTGGCCTGGTGGAGCAGCAGTTCAGGTCACACGTTCCACTTTGGTGGCCAGGGGTTCACCGGTTTGGATCCCGAGTGCAGAGCTATGCAGTGCTTGTCAAGCCATGCTGTGGCAGGCATCCCACATATAAATTCGAGGAAGATGGGCATGGATGTTCGCTCAGGGCCACTCTTCCTCAGCAAAAAAGATGAAGATTGGCAGCAGATGTTAGCTCAGAGCTAATCTTCCTCAAAAAAAGAAAAAAGTCATTTTTCTTTTGATTTATATTTCTTCCTATATTATGTTTCTTTCTCTCTCTATATATAGAGAGAGAGTGAGGGAGGAAGAGAGGAAGTCAGAGAGGGATTTAATTTAAGGAATTGGCTCACACCATTGTGGATGCTGGCAAGTCTGAAATCTGCAGGACAGACTGGCAGCCTGAACGTTCCAGCAGGAGCTGATGATTCCAAAGGCAGTCTGGAAGCAGAATTGCTCCTTTTCCGGAGACCTCAGTCTTTTCTCTTAAGGCCTTCAACTGATTGGATGAGGCCCACCCACATTATGGAGGGTAATCTACTTGACTCAAAGTCTACTGACTAGCTTCAACGCTAATCACATCTAAAATATACTTCACAACATCTCAGCTGATGCTTGACCAAACAACTGGGCACCATGGCCTTGCCGAGTTGACCCATAAATTAACCGTCACACTATCTTATGCATAATTCAAATTTTTATCACTTAAATATGCTCAGACAAGTGTGGCAAACTATGAACCTACAAATATATGAAATATGAACTATAGACTTGTCATAAATTCTTTCAATCTCATACTTCTAGGTGTCATTTGGCCTCTTCTCTAGACTTTGCCTAGAAAAGATAGTATTTGGAATCTATCATTCTTAGACCTATAGATGTGCCAAAAGAGGGCAAAGCGAATTGAAACTTAAATCAACACCATAAGTAAATTTTGTAATAATGTAGTAAGGAAATAAAGATTTCAAATTTCCACTAAAACTAAGCACAGTATGGAAATAATATTGACACTTAGTACAAACTCAATGATAGGTTTTGCGGTTAGATTTCTCTCTCTGGAAAAGTCAGACATTGACTTATGGGAAGTTTCTGGAGATAGTCATAGTTTCTGGAGTAAAGGGTGACATCCTCTGGTGGACAGACTCTGCCAGTTTAACTCTGAAAATTAGTGATGGGCAAATATTGCAACCAGGTGGTGGTCCGGCGTCCACTTATGCAGAATCTCTTAGGTATGGCAGCCTCTAAGAGGTTTCTGAGCTGAAAGGAATTCATGTGGTTGTTCCCACACATAGAATCTAAAAGATGATATAAAAGCAGTACTTTCTTTAACCTTTCTCCAATGACGCACCTTTAGTTCCTATAGGATGCCCTCTGGTGACCAGCTCGCCATTGGCCTAGGTCGTCTGCTGTTTCCTTGTGATTTCCACCCACTCCTCACTGTCAGCCCAGTCCTCCTGGTCTGTATTCTTCCCACCCCACTTCTTTCCCAGGATCTTGGCTTTCCCTCCATCGAGGAGTGTCTACTTCTCATACACACCATTGTGCCCAAAATGTCTCAGTCGCCTCAGTTGTTTATTGCAGTCTCCTAGTCTCACCCTGATTGGAGAACTAAAGAGAAAACTCTGCCCTTTCACAGAAGCTGTGAACTCCGTCTTCTAGGAGCCGAAAGATGCCCAGCATGTGAGCACGAATCTGTGGCCATTCAATTAACTGGTTTTTTATTATAATTATTATAAAGCTGTAGCAAGACCAAGGGTTTCTCAATGCTTGGAACAAGACGTTTTCTGTCTCTTGTGTTGTTTTTCTACCTCAAATGTGAAAAACAAAAAGGAGGAGGGAGCGATTGCCTTAGCTTTAGCAATCAAAAAGCCTTTTTTCCGTGACTGATTAGGAATGAGCCATTAGGACATCCGAAAACGACCGAAGTTAAGAAAAAAAGCAAAGTAGATTCTTCTGGCACTTACTTTATAGAAATGTTTAATTTCATACCTGGTGTTTCTTGGTATGCTCTGCTCGCTCATTGAGGACCGAGAGTCTTTGGTCTGGAAAAGTAATGAAATAGAAAACACTGAGCTCCATTCCATTCCCGGCTTTGTAAAGCTCACCTAATTAAAAAAGAAGTAAAGGTTTCCAGAAAGCACAAAGTAAAAGGGAGAACAAGGTAAAATTTCTTTAGGATTAGGACACACCTGTTCCCACTATTTAACTTTCCCACTGCAGGCCCTCTGCCTGGTGGGGCCAGCTCCAGGGCCAGGCGCAGCGCGAGCTTCCAGGAGTATGAACACGCTGCTTCTCTGATGCTTCAGTTCTGTGACCTCGAAATTTCCTGACCATATACCAACGCACTGATCACACAATCAACAAAACTATGGCCCACACACCCATAATGTACACATATTTATTTATAAATTATACAACTGTGCGTGTTTACATTACGTACATTATAAAAATACATCAAAATAATTTAAAATGAGAAAAAATATAAATAGAAGTTCCAATATTTTTTCCTGCACCCTAGTGAATCCTGAGGTACCTCATAAGGTACACGGCACCCCACACCCCGACCTTGCAGACCACCGCTTCAGCAAAGACGCCCCTTCTGCTGGCTCTTTGCTCCCAGCAAATTTCCCTTAATTTTAGTTGAAAAAAAATCTGCACCTCCCTAACCCTCACTCTTCTCCCCCAGAGGCAGATTGTCTCTATTTCATTCTTCCAGTTACTGCATAAGTCTCTGTCACCATCAGTGCTTGGAAGACACCCTTAGCAAGGCCAATCCCTTATTTCTATACCAAATGGATGGATTTACTTCAGACTATATCCTTAACCTTACAGCAACACCAGATGCTATTAACTACACTCTCCTTACAAGACTTTCCTCCCTTGATTTCTGCCTCAGTCTGGGATCACTGGCTGCTGGGCATCCAAGCTACCCAAGATGGCCTAAATGACAGAACCCGCAGGCTCGTGCTCCTCCAGACCTCTGAGGGACTTGGGTGACAACCCGCCACCCAGGTTTCCTCCTGTGTCTCCCACGGAATCTCTCATCACTTCTCCTCAGATCTGTTTGCTTTGCTTCAGTACTGGATGGCTGTCCTGCCCCTAGGTCCACGTGGCCTCCAATTCGAAAGCCCCGGAGAATGACGGGAGTCTTCCATTACTGCTACACGCCCTGAGGAGAGGAGAGCTGCTTGACCAGCTTGAGTCCTATGTCAAGTCCTGGTCTGCGGTCAGCTCTGGTCAGTAGTTTGAGGTCTCCGAGGGAACAGACTCAGAGCGGGGGTGGGGCGGTATGTTCCCTAACATGGCAGCAGGGAGAAGATGATTTGTGTCTCTGAACAGCTGTGGCTCCTCTCTATAGTTGCCTCCTTCTCATGCTCTTCCTCTTGGATTCTTCCACTGTCCTTGGAGGATATGTTTCCCCTTCTCTCCCTGGTTCTTTCTCCATGCTACATGCTCATTCCAAATATCTGGGTTCAGCAACCACCCAACACTGACTGATTTCCACCTCATGAGGTCCACAGCACCCATCCCCTCCGTATCTGTGTCTCCACTCTGCCACCGGTCCCGAGCTTGAGCCACTCTCTATGCCAACCAGCTGGCCCTCTGCCTGAGGTCCTGCAGCTACCGCAAGCCCAGCGTGTCCAGGCTGAGCTTACCACCTCCAGCAGCACCACTGACCTTCCCACATATCCCAACCCCTAGCATCACCACCGCTACCCAGCCACCCAAACCTGAGAGGAATTCCAATTAGACTTCTGCTCTTGTCTGGATTACATACTGGCTCTCACTAGAGATTTCTGTTGAAATGTAAATTTCAATTGCTTTAAAATGCATGCTAAAGCATCACAGTATTCAAAGTCCTTCTGCTTAAATAACAGAGTGAACTAATATTAACTCATCATAAATGAATTTAGCATATATCTTCTCAAATAACAAATAGCTGTGGGAAGGGCCCCAGCTCACTGATGACAGTGATACTGGAGAATACCTTGGAGAGCCATGGGACATTTTTCTCTCAGTTATTATGCACTCCAACCATAGAAAGTATTATTAATATTCCCATATTACAGGTAAAGAAAGATACTGTAGAGCGTTTGAATAACTTGTGCCATATCACAGATCTAGTAAGAGGCGGAGGTAGGATTTTAACCCATATTCCAGAACTCAAGCTCCTAATTAGGACAATATGCTTCCTCCCTCTATGTTAGGGAATTTGGCATATGGTTAAGAATACAAGTGTGGAAGTAAAAGAAAATTGATATGAGTTACTGCTTGCCTGCTGGGCCAGTTACAAAACCTCTCTGTGCTTCCTTGTCTGTAAAATGGGAACGAGAGAACTCAGGGGGTGGGGGAGGGGTTGCAGAGTAAACAGGAGTGATAGATGTGGAGTGGAGAACACAGAGCCTGACACATAGTTTTTGTTCAACAATTGGTACCTGTTACCCTAAACCAAGCTGAGACACGCCCAGCATGAGCTACAACCTCTGCTCAGCCACCAGCACTCTGGGTTACCTTGGGCAAAGTTCTGTAACCTCCAGGTAGCTACATTCTAAAGGAAGATGCTTATCAAATAAAGTCAGGTTCCTGGTGGTGGAATGCCACTCAAAGTGATGGGCAGAAGGGCTTTAGACCCAGACGCGACACACGGCAGGCACTGACGGGCGTGATTTCCTTTCCCCTTTCAGGTGGTGATGTGAGAACAGTAGAACCTGGTCCTGGTGCCATAATGGTATTCAAAAATTCAATCGGGTAAAACGTGGCATTGCGTTTATGGCATAACCGCAGTACTGCTGCCCGCTGAACGAAAGGGCAGCGAGCCAGCTGGGGGGACCAGGGGACAGGCTCTCCAAGCCAGGTCTGACTACAAAGGGGCAATTATCCACTTTAAACATGGAAGGCCCTCTGCCTCTTCGGGGGTAATTGGGAATTCCAGGAGAGTGACAGCATCTCAGGCATCAGGCATCTCCCCATTGGTGGGGAACTAGCCTTGTGGGCTCACACCTGGAAAACTGCTGCAGAAGCAGCCTGGCGTGCAGAGGTTCACCTTCCACCTGTGCAGTTCTAGAAACTGATTCCCCAGAGACCACACACCCCACCTGGCCCCCACCCGTTACCCTCTTCTGCTCCCCTCACCCAGAAGAAGAGAGCCGTTGGTCTACCTCACTTTGAGACGAGGGTGCCGTAGCACAATTTGAGTCATCTACATGGATTCTGATGAGTGTAGTGTAATCAGCATTTCTGAAGTGATAGGTCCAAGGTGGATTCTCATTCTTCTAGGCATCTCTAGTTGAGATTCTCCTGAGGGGGAGGAAAAGAGGATGTCTTCTCAAAACTCTTTCCAGCAATGTTCTAAAGTATTGTGCCACTCAACACTTTAACCAAATGAGAAAACATTTGAAACGTCCTAACCTTCAGACAACTTTTATTGTCTAGGTCCTTGTCTACGGTACCCAAACGACAACTCATTGCACAAATTCAGTGCAGCACAGGCGACCACCCCCCATTCCTCATTTCTATCCATTTTGGATAGAAAGGACACAGACTTTCTGTCCAAAAGCCAAAACTGTCAGGAAGGACCATGAAGACATTTGTGGCAGGGACTGCTAGGTTCCAACCTAGCATCTATTTCTCCTATCTTCCTCACAAACAGAACTCTGATTTTACTTTAGAATGGCAACGTGCCCAGCTTAAAAATTAAATTTCCCAGCCTTCTCAGAAGCCAGGAATGGCAGAGGTACTTAGGCGGATGTCTGGGAAATCTTAAAGGAGCACTGACCCAGCTAGGAGAGACGATTTCTTGCTTTTTTTTTTCTTTCTCCCCTTCTTCTTTTCTATCACCTGGAACTCAGATGTAATCACTGGTTCTCCAGCAGCCATCTTACACTGGAAGGACATCTTGAAGCTAAGGTTGGTGTCTTAGCTCAGGTGACCTCAACAAAATACCACAGACTGGTTTGCTTACACAACAGATATTTATTTCCTCATGGTTCTAGAGGTTGGTAAGTCCAAGATCAAGGTGCCAGCATGGACAGTTTCTGGTGAGACCTCTCTTCCAGGCTTGCAGGCTGCTGCCGTCTTGAAGTGTTCTCACCTATTCTTTGTGCACGCAAGGGTTGGGAGAGAGGGAGGATAGGGAGGAGCATTCTGGCATCTCTTCTTCTCTTCTTACAAGGACACTAATCCTATTGTATCAGGGCCCCACCCTTATGACCTCATTTAACTTCAATTACCTCCTTACAGGCTCTGTCTCTACATACAGACACGTTGGGGGTTAGGGCTTCAACTTACTAATTGGGGTGGGGGTTGTAGGGCACAATTCAGTCTATGGCAGACAGGTAGCAGAATTTTAGTAGGCTCTTGTGACAGTGATGCCAATATGGAGCCACTATACAGCCCTGGACTGCCCGTCTCTGAATTTCCTTTACTTGAAGCCAAAGAAAGAAAAAAAAATCCTCCAGCTTGTTTGAGTCATATGTTTAGAATTTCTATTACATTGAATCAAACCTAATCCCAACTGATACAATATATGTTTATCTATTCACACAACAACAAAAAATGTTGAGGATGTTCTATGTACTGGGTACCATGCTGAGTGCTGAGAAACTGGGGATAATAAGACAAATCAGATGGACTCCCTCCTCTGATGACCCCACAGGTTTATGGAGGAGACAAACAGAAATATACGATTTGAATTTGTTGTGTTGTAGAATGGCCAGAAAGAAAGTGAACCAAGTAGTCAAAGATAGCTTAGCTTGGAAACTTGGGCAAGACTGCTCAGAGATAAGATCTGCCCCTGTCCTTGAAGGATGTGTGGAGCTTCCGCAGCCTGGAGCCGGGAGTCTCCCAGACATAGAAACAGTAAGATCCAAGGAATGCAAGCATGGAAGAGCACGGCATGGCCATTGGACAGTGAGCTGTGTTTTGTGAGTAGAGAAAGGGAGAGGAGAAAGTAGCTGGAGATGAGGCTGGAAAATATATAACAAGTTCCTTCTACATGACACTTAGATTCTTGGGCTTAACCGCATGGCAGTGGGTTACCTGAAGGTTTTTTAAGCAGTGATGTTAAGGTGTGATGTTATTAGACTGACATTTTCAGAAGATTATTGTAGAAGCAGACTGGAGGCAGGGGGCCTGCACAGAGGATCACGGTAATAATACCAACAAGACATGACGTGAACAAGGCTAAGGGACAATGTGTTCACTCCCGTCCATTTCAGTCTCATCCAGTTTGTCAAATGAGCCGCTAGCCACCTGTGGATTAGCCTACATGGACCAACAGACTCTACCCCAGCACTACAGCAAAACTTCTGACCTCACTAAATAGCGCTTCTTGAAAACTGGTCTTTTCTACTGTCATGAGGCATCTGTGGAGGAAATTAGCAGGGGCAGGCCTTCTGAACACCCCTGGGGCAGCTGCCTCCTTTCCTTGAGTCCTTGGTTTTCTCCATCCTGACATCTCCCCACCTAGATCAGAGGGCCCCAGGAGTGCTGCTTTGCACCCTGGCCTGCTCACTTGGTTCTACTCTTTGACCTCCTGTCTGCTCTTCACACTCCCTTATTTCCAAATGGATCTCCTTGGACATGATACCACACGAAATAAGGTTATCAGCATCTTGGTGTCAAACTTCTGAAGCTATGCATGGATTATCTTGCATTCCTACAACAGAGTTCTAATTCAACACTGATGCCTGTTTGATTCTGAACTATGAAATATTCATTGTACAGCTGCACCTCTCTGGGAGTGCTATTTCTACGCCTTTCTTTCACCTCCTCATGTGCTATTTCTACTCCTTTCTATCCTCCTTTCTGCCCACATGCACTCCTCTGGCATTGGATGGAGGCGTACTGTAATCTATTCCTGGGAAATGAAGCTGATAAATGGGAGCGTATCAGAGGCAGAATGAAGACGAGTTGGTGACCAGCCAGTTAGAAAGTCAAATTGCAGCAAAAGCACAAAAAGATTAGCTCTTCCTTGACATCAATGATGAGGACATATTTATGCTATTTCTTTGAAAATTTCAAAGGGCAGAGTGCAAGTACAATGCCTTCATAGGTCTTTGCCTTTCCTCATTCATTGAATAAGCAAGAAACATCATTTTCTTCTTAAATTTAAAGCCTGTTAATCACTCTTGGGTTACAGATTTATTTTATCTGAACATCTCCATATTGTCTAAGTCCACATCAATTACACACACACTACATATGATTTTATTCAAAGTCAGACCATGTAAAAAATAAAAGTGGGAGACTCCAAAGAAAATGTGATTTCTTTCCAAGAAGTCCACTATGTTCAGACTTCAAATATTGACTTTTTTTCTGGAAATCTCCTATTGTTTAAATTGTCTACACACCAAGTCGAGTTCTCAGTTGGAACACTCAAAATCAGGGAAATGTTTCTGTACATATTTTTAAGGTTTATTCACACTTTGTTTGAAAGTTACAATAAATCAACTTAATTTGAATCACTCCATAAGCTAATATGTCCCTACAAACTTTCCCTTTGAATTTAACCATGAGGATATACTTCCGCTTAAACCACTTTTGCTGTTTCAAGAGTTTGCTATGTGTTTATCGTTGATTTATTTATTCATTCACCCATTAGGCAAATAAATTTGGACACCTACTATGCACAGATCCTGTGTTGGGAAGTATGGGGATATAAAGATTAATAAGAGGAATATTATGAAGATTAGGGCTCTCAAAGGGCTCTCGGTCTGGCAGGAGAGCTGATATTATCACGCATATTTACAGGGCTTTGTGGTTTACAGAGCATTTTCAAGTGTGTTCTTAGATTCAGATGTCTTCATAAAAACCCGATGGACTAGGCCAGTTAGGCGTGCTTTACAGACTAGCCCTGTTTTACAGATGGACAAACTGCGTTCTCTCTCATGAAGCCCTACTTCACACATGATGACCATCATGGTGGGTTTCAACCCAAACGCAACAAGAATCACCTGGGAAACTGGACACATGACGAGTGCCTGGGTTCCCCCTCCAGAGATGCAGATTTTATTGGTTGGAGGTGGGGTCTAGGCACGGGCAGTGTTTTCAGTTCGTGAGATGAGGCTACTGCACAGCTGAGGCTGAAAACCGCAGCTCTCCTCTTCCTGAACTGCTTGTGGTTGCCCTTGGACATCGCATTGCTTCCCATCTCTGTGTCTTTGCTACTTTGCCCTTGCACTCTCCACTTCATATTGAAATCACCCCCGATGCCCAGCCTGGAACTGCGTCTCATTCACCTTTTAAGCCCCAGTTCGGAACGCAGTCCCTCGTGTACAGTAGGAGCTGAGTCAACGTTTCTTGAACTAACTTCAATTTGATCACAAAATATGCTAGTTTGTATTATTGCTTCTGCCTCATCATGGTCTCTTCATCATGGTCCCCTCATCAAGGGATAAAATCTTTCATCTTATTAGGTCAGCTAGTTCATTTTTGTCTGCTTCTTGCTAAGAACCTGGGTTAAGTTTCTGGGGCAAGGCAGAAGGACAAATTAAGTGAATCATGCCTCCTCATTGACTTCTATCACTTCATACCCCAGCTCTCTCTCCCTGTGCTACATTTTACAGGAGAGTGAGAGATGTGACCCTTGACCTCCAGCAGCCCAGCTCATCCAGCCAAGCTTGCCTCTCCAGATCTTCATTAAAACACGATTTGTCCCACTGGCCCTTACAGATACACCCGGCTGGGTCAAAATTCAAAATGCACACCTAGTTTAGGCCTTAACTCTGGAATCTACAACATCCACCCAATACTCAGGAAATTTATTTCTGAATAACAGGTCATGATAATGTATTTTTCTAATAGGATCAATGTTGTTTCTAAGAAATACAAAATCGAATCCTTTCATTTTGAAAATGAATTAAACTATCAGTATCTTTAAGATAATTTATAAAAATTTATCCCATAGTAGAAATAAAATATAAATGTTTTATACTAGTTTCTGGGCTTAAAATTGACTGCTTACTTGGTTGTAAATGTCCATTTTAAAAAATATCAGTAGGATAAAGTTGTTAGCTGCTGTTCACAGGGTTTTCATGGCCAATTTCTTCAGAAGCAGGCGGCCAGGTCCTTCTTCCTGGTCTGTCTGAGTCTGGAAGCTCCACTGAAACCTGTCCACCATGGGTGACCCTGCTGGTGTTTGAAATCAGCCGGGTGGTGTGGTTCCCTGACTGGGACACAAACCCAGGCCGTGGCTGTAACAGCATGGATCTTAACAACTAGACCAATAGTGCTGGCATTCTGGATTTAGTGGGACACAAAGTGAAATGGTTTTCTATTTTGCCAACGCTGCTTTCACT